GCGCTGCGCTCGACAAAGGGCGCGGGGCAGGCCAAGGGGTCGGGCACCTCCTGCTCTCTTCATTATAATTACGACGCGGCTGCACATCTGCGGCCGCTCGAACCCCTGCTCGACGACGTACAAAATGGCGCCACATTGCAGCTGGATCGCGCGATCTGGCAGGAAGAGGGAACTCCTGGGACTAACCCGATCAACGCCAGCGCCGGTCTTGATGGGGAACGCACGAAGGACAGCTTTGAGTTCAGAAACCAAGTGGGGGCGGGGGGGGCCCATGGCAATCGGGCCAGTCCAGCGGCTGTCTTTCATGATGTACTTTCCACCATTCCCCCCACTCAGCTTGGAGTCTGTCGACCTGCCCCTGTGGGTTGGCGCGCCGCAGCGCGCAGCGATCCGAAGCTGCTGGCCGCCGCTCGACAGGCAGCGCGGCAGGAGCATGCAGGGCGGGCGCGCCATTGGCCGAGCGCGCGTCGATCCAATTTTACCCGGCAGACAGACTGCCGGCGCTGGTGTAGGGCCTGCTTGTCGGCCCACCTCTCGAAAACTTCTATGAGGTCAGCGGGGGCCTGCTCAAGCTCAATGACACCGAGGACAGTGGCCTTCCCAGTATAGAGGCCCTTATGAAGCAATACGTGGGCCCTGGAGAGATCGCGGAGCCTATTGATGCTGGCAATCCACGCGTGGAACTTGTCGGGGACCTGATACTGAGCCCTGCAGATCCAGAATCGCCGAAGCACTTGCTTCCGCCAGACAACCAATACCGATAGACTCGGGATACGAGGGGGGCCCAGGGCGCCGAGCAGACTGGAAACGGGGCCTGATGGGCATAATTCGCCCGCGGCACTTATCCGCCTCGTCCGAGGGTATCTGGCATATCATGACCCATTCGCTTTCAGCGGTAGAGATAAACGCATCCCACTTGGCATCAGTCGAGTCTGCGTCTGCGATCACTTGCGATGCCAGGTGCCTTGGTCACGCGCGCATGCACGTCGCTGGACGCAGCAGCAATGCGCAGGAGCACGGGCGACTGGGGGGACCTGGGGATCTCCAGGAGGACCCAGACATAATGCTTACCCAAGAGGTTAGAGGAGACAACGAAGAAATCGATCGTGCGTCCAGCAGGTGCAGGTGCCAGTGCTGGGCGCCACTATGGTAGCACCAAGCGCAGTGGCCCATCCTGGGGAGTCCAACTCGCTTGGTTCGATGTTCCAATCACCGCATATGATGAAGGGAATGCGTGCTCGCTTGGAAATAGCACCCAAGCGCGATTAAATGCTCAATGTGAAGTCGTCGGGGTCGCCACCATTCTTAAGATAGTTGTTGCTCAATAGAAAAAAAAACGTTTCACCAGCCCCCCCCCCATCATGGATAACCGAAGAGCGTCCAGGGAAAATCTTGGAGGGCTCGGAGGCCAAGAAGGCCATGCCATTGTGCTGTGGAACCAACGTAAGCATTCCCGCTGAGGTACCTCCGTTTTGGGTATGCACACCTTTCGAAAACTTGGCCGGCCACCCATCGTGGGGAAGGGAAGCTCCCTGATAATCAGTGTTCAGAACTGCGTGGGTCTACTGAACGACAAGCGCATCCAAACCATAATACCCACTGAAGACCGTCTCGAAGCTGGAATACTCGGTGACTTTGGAAGTACCGATGAACCAATGTCGAGATATGTTGCGGCTGCTGTCCATCGGGGGAAAACAAACCTACCTCGCTTTTGACCACCCTCGTTTCCAAGAGATACCAAACGATGCCAAATTGCAGCCTGTACTGGTCAAGCAGCTTGACGGGGAGGCGCGTGGTATGGCTTGGTTTTGCCTGGAAGCGAAAGCGGGGTAGGTAATTCACGCTCTGAGTCCAGCACGGCGGCTTCGTCACTGCTACGTACATTGGCGGCCTGCGCTCGCGCTCTGCCAAGCGCGGGGAACGAAAGCCATGACGCCTGGACTCGGGCGTGGGGGCGCTCGCCGCCGTCGCCACCACGTCGTCGATGGTGTGCGTGATCTGCTCTTGCTGAACACCTTTCGCCGCGGCGATGTCCTTGGCCATGTCGGTGTTGCCCAGGGTGGCGAAGACAACCTGCTGCATCTTGACGCTGTCAGCCGACGAATCGTCGAAGCTGTCGTCGCCGCCGGGCATCTCCTCGTCGTTACCCACAGGCAGCTCACGACCACCGCCCTCAGGATCAGCACGGAGGGGCAGAGGCAACACGCTGAGCCGCCCGCTGGCTCTCCGCCTGAGCTTTGGCCGTGCGCAGCATGTTGATCTGCATGGCAAGGCTGGGGTCGAGCGCGTCGAACCTCTGGGAAAAACACCTTCTCGGGCGTGTCCTCAGTGGTCGCACGCGGCGCTAGCACGATCGAGCTGCCGGGCGTTCGCCGGCAAGCAGGCGAACGCAAGACACACATATTTGTGAGGTTCCGTGGCGCTGCCTCCACCTCCTCCTCCTCCTCCTCCTCCTCCTCCTCCTCCTCCTCCTCCTCCCCCCTCCTCCTCCTCATCCTCATCCTCCTACTGTTCTTCTTCCTCCTCCTCCTCCTCCTTCTCCTCCTCTTCTTCCTCATCCTGGGCAAGAAATCGAGAACCACGGTACCGTCGTCCCCAGGTGCCCCACCACTCTTGGCGGCGCGCACAGGGGGGTGTGGGTGGGGTCCAAGGAGGTGGGTTTCTTAGAAGGAAGATTCCTTCCCAGGAGCGCCCAAGAGGCTTCTGCGAAGCCGTCCGAGACGCCGCCTGGCGCTTCTGAGAGGGCCCCTATCTTCGAAGGAGCCCCCCTCCTGCCTTCTTCAAGCCCCCAGCCTGCGCCCCCCCCCCCTGGGGCGCGCCGCGGAGACTCTTCGGAGGAGGGAGGAAAAGGCAGGGAGCGGCTGCAGCACGGATCATCCCCTCCGACGAACTCCGACCACAGCCCACGAGGGCGCCTGGAAGAACAGAGGATGTAGGGGAACCAACAATCGGGGAGACGTGAGACTCGGGTACGGGGGGGCTCGGGTTGGCCCGACGGGGCCATCATAAAGCTGACGAGGCCCAACCTGAAATCTGACGCGAGCTCCCGCTGCAGACATGCCACGAAAACCGGACCGTCAAAACCCAGGACGCGCTCGTCAAACCCGAGTTCCGGCTTACTCGGGTCTTGCGCTCCCCCGAAACGACTGCATTCACATAAATTCTATCACTGGGCATCGCTCGGACGCCCATGCCCTGTGTTTTTTTGTCGGTTTCGTGCGTGGTTTTTCCGCCAAATGATCAAGGATGCTCCTCGATGGTCCTCCCCGCTAGAGGGCTCCTAGATGGGGTCGGAATAGGTGGGGTCGGAGGATCGCGCCGCATCGGCTTAACATCCGCGATGCATCGGTGATGCATCGGCGATGCACCGGCGACGCATCGTCGATGTCTGCGACGCATCGGCGACGTCGACGTGAGGCACATCGGGCTCCGCATCGAGCCGCATCGCCGATGCATCGGCGACGCCGCGCGATCCTCCGACCCCATCTACTCCGACCCCATCCAGGAGGCCTACGTAGAGGAGCTGGACCCCCCGCCCATGGCTCGCGACGCACTCCGGTGTGGAGGCGCCGCCGCGGAGGCGCCGCCGCGGAGGCCACGCGCGGCGGTCCCGTGGGATATCCGCGCGGCGCTCCGAGGAACCGACTGTGATGTCTGCGCCGCCGCGGCGAGGCCTCGCGTGCTCCTCGAGGCGGCGGAGGGAGGGCGCCGGGGAGGACGGCGCCGACGAGCCGACGACGGCGGCGACGGCGGCGAGGCTGGCAGCGAGCCGACGGAGGCGACGACGACGACGACGACAATGACGACGACGACGACGACGACGACGACGACGACGACGCCGACGACGACGCCGACGCCGACGCCCGCCCCCGCCCGCGGAGAGCAGCGTCAGAGCGAGGATGCGCCCGTCGATCTGCGCCCACTCGCCGACGACCCCGGCGAATCTCACCTCGCGGGGGGGGGGTCGGCGGCGAGCCTGGGGGTGGATGCAGGGGGAGGCGGGCTTTCTCAGAAGGCTCGAAAGGCCTCGGGCCTTCTGTTGAGTCTGCAGAGCAGTCTCCGCAGGCAGGGGCGGCTCCCCAGAGGGCCAAAGAGCTCCCGAGAAGCGCCGCCGCCTTCCGCGACGGCACCCGCCCCCCCCCCAACCTCCCCCCCTTGGGCGCGCCGCCGAAGGCGGATGTCCGTTCTGGGGGCCTCCTGGAGCTCCACGCACTCCACTCGTGCGTCGATGCTGCGCCGGACGTCCGTCGACCTGAGTCGGCGCTGGAGCCGAGCCTGGGTCGAGCTGGAGTCGAGCCGGAGTCGAGGCTGAGTCGAGCTGGAGTCGAGGTTGATCCGTCAGGCGGGCCCCAGGACGGCCCCCAGACGAGCACCCGGGGGAGGGGGCGGCGGCCGCCGCGGCCACAGGCGGGAGGGCGGGCAGCCCGAGGAGGTGAGGAGAAAGCAACGAAAGGAGGCCCGCCTCCTGCGAAAGGTCCCTCCTACGCATGCGTATTGGGCGTGGCTTAATGGGGGGTCACAAATGGGGGGGTCAGAAAAGGTCCCCTTTCGTGCCCCTTTCGGGCCCCTCCAGAGCCCCAGGGGGCTCGTTTAGGTACCGTTTGGGTACCTTTTCGGACCACGCCCGCCATCCCCCCATTTATGGCCCCCCATTACGCGGCGCCCAAGCGTAACCAGATCCCTGGGGTCCGGGCGTGCTCTTTTGTGTTCACCGGGCGTGTTCACTCGGCGCCGCAGTCGACCTGGCTCGGAATGAGGAGAAGCCGCAGGAAGAGGAGGTCCAGGACTCCAGCCGTGATGTGCACGATGCCGCATCCTTTCTCAACGTCTGATCGCGTGGACCTGCGGAGTCGCAGAAGACTTGACCCCTGCGACCCACAGCCGCCGTGCTGAGGGAGCCGCCCCGGGCGCCCCTCCCCAGGGCCGACCCCGAACCCCCAGCGGTGACGACCTGCGCGCGGCGTCCGATGACGCGTGCCGCGCGCAGGTCGCCACCACTGGCGGGTTCGGGGTTCAACGCGGAGGTGCTGTCGCGGGGGCCGTCCAGAGGCAGCCTTCTCGGGGCCCTCTTCGGCCCCTGTGGGCGCCCGTCGGGCCGTCTTTGGTTGGTCTCGGGCGGTGTTCGGGCTATCTCTGGCCTGCTGCCGTGGGTAGGGAGCGAAAATCAAGGAACACAACGCCCAATCCACCGATCCGTTGGTAATGAAGGCGGGCCGACGACTCGCATCGACCAGCCACACGGCATACCGAAGCCAAATGGAACATGGGATGGACGAGAAATATCCAATGATGCCAGGAGGCCTCTGGAGATCACCAGACGGTGCGACCAAAAATAATCGCCCATCGCCCATCGACGGGCGCTGTCTGTGCGATTTCGACACCTCGGAGCAGCTCTTGCCCATGCCCCACGGCCAGCGAAGAACTGAATCGCGGCCAGAAGGTACTCACGGAGACGGGGCCGACTATTATGTGGTTCCCTTCGTACTTGAAGGCGACATCCCACAAATAATTTCGACCACCCAGAAAATGGTCAAATGAGTGTCTGCCAGGGCCCGACACGTGAAAACCCTGGAGTTTGGGGGTGTTTTTTTGGTGCTCGAAATTCACCATGGTGATCAAGGCCAAAGTAGGTTGGAACATCGTAAGCCGACTACACAACTGAATTGCCCGATCCGCCACCGTGCCTCTGGGCACGGAAAAGGCGCGTCCTCGGGTCCTCTGCGTAATCCTTTAACGCTCGATCCTCACTCGTGAGGAGTCGTCAAGGGGCCCGGCCCCCAAATCGCTGAATATGCGGGGGTTTTGTCGCGTGCCCCTTCTGGGCTCCAAGAAGTGTTGCCGCACAGGGCCTCACAAGCCCACAGTATGGTCCAAGAGGGTCCCGAATCACTGAACGATCGCTCCAAGACGTTCACGATGGCCCCCAATCGGCCCAAGAGGCCTCCAACACGCCCAAAGGGGTTTCCGACAGGCCTCCCAAGAGGGCCCCGGGGGACCAAAATAAGAGATTATCCTGTGGTTTTGAAGGATCTGGGGGTTTTCGCCTTTCCAGCTTCCCGACGCGCCCAAACAGCCTTAGAAGCTCCCAGGACCGCCCCAAAAAGGCCCCCAAACGGCCCCCGAGGACCCCAAAACGGCCCAAGAGGCGCCCAAAACGGACCAACAGGGCCCCAAGACGGCCCAAAAATGGCCCCAAAAGAAGGACCCACGTACCGAACATCCGAGCCTTCCGCCCCAAGGGGCCCTCAGGAGGCCCAAAAGGGGCCCCCACAAAGCTTCAAGAGGTGTCTAAACTGCCTCCGAAAGTCCCCCGGAACTCCCACGAGATCTCGACGAACATCCCATAGGCTGCACACCCACAGCCCAAGCGCGGTGGCTAGATGGGCACAGCGCCATTAGATCCGCCGCCCCATGTTGGCTTGCCACAAGGGTGCCCGGCGTGCTAAATCCAATCGTTTTTGGTGCTGGTTCTTTTTCCAGATAAACTATCCCTGGGGTTTTGGCCCGTCCCGCTGGCCACCCGATAGGACCCTCAAGGCGCCCGATTCTCACAGTCAGCGGCGGCAACGTGCAATGGGAACACCCCGGTGCAATGTCCCGGCGGAGAACCGCGGGTCACGCCCGGAGGCCGCGAGGAGGGCATCCACCTCCACGCCCATATCCTCCTTGACGTCCACCACCTCATCCTCATCCGTCCTCCGCAACGAGCAGTTGGTCGTGCATTTTCTCAAACAACACCACCCTTGCATCCCCCTCCCCATTGTCGTCCTCCTCCTCCTCCTGGCCATCCTGGTCCTCCTCCTCCTCCTCCTCCTCCTCCTCCTCCTCCTCCTGTTGGTCGTCCTCCTCCTCGTCCTGCTGCTATTCCTCCTCCTCATCCCTTGCCTCCGCCTCTTCCTCCTCCCCCTCGTCCGCCTGCTCCTGCACCAAATCATGAATAAGGCGCGTCAGACCGCGTGAATAAGCCGGCGCAGATGCACCTACTTCCAAAGGCAGTTTGCGCGCGGGTGAACGCGCAGTCGATCCCCGTCGCATCGCCCCCTCAACTTCAAAGTCGGCGGTGCACCGGACCGCTTCTGTCAAAGCCTCGTCTCCCCCCTCGGGGGCGGTTAACCCACCCATCCCTCTAGCAGACCGTGGAGGCATTGGATAAGAAATCCAGGGTCTGGAGCCTCGCGGGGATCCACTTGCTTGGAAAGGGGTGGGGCAGAAGTTGTCCGCTCCCATCCATTATGAGCTCTCTACCCTCCCGTCTCCCCTCGATCCCCCCCTACTTCCTCCTCCCTCTCGCCTCCCTCCTCCCTCCCCCCTCCCTCCCACCTCCCTCCCATCCTTCCTCCGCCTCAGATGCCCTGGAAGAGGACGGCAGGTGAGCGGTGCGGTTGCGGTTGCGCGCCCGCGGGCGGGTTGAAATGTGTCGCCAAGTTGGGGTTGCGGTTGTGCGCCCGCGGGCGGTATGAAATGTGTCGCCCAGTTGCGGTTGCGCGCCCGCGGGCGGATCAAAATGTGTTGCCCGCTTGCGGTTGCGGTTGCGCGCCCGCGGGCGGGTTGAAATGTGTCGAAAAAGCGCGGTTGCGGTTGCGCGCCCGCGGGCGGGTTGAAATGTGTCGCCCAAGTGCGGCTGCGGTTGCGCGCCCGCGGGCGGGTCGAAATGTGTCAAGTAGTTGCGGTCGCGGTTGCGCGCCCGCATGCGGGTTGAAATGTGTCGGCCAAGTGCGGTTGCGGTTGCGCGCCCGCGGGCGGGTCGAAATGTGTCGCCCAGTTGCGGCTGCGGTTGCGCGCTCTCGGGCGGGTTGAAATGTGTCGCCCTGTTGCGGTTGCGCGCCCGCGGGCGGGTTGAAATGTGTCGCCCAGTTGCGGTTGCGCGCCCGCGGGCGGGTCGAAATGTATCGCGTTGTTGCGGTTGCGGTTGCGCGCTCTCGGGTGGGTTGAAGTGTGTCGCCCAGTTGCAGTTGCGGTTGCGCGCCCGCGGGTGGTTTGAAATGCGTCGCCCAGTTGCGGTTGCGCGCCCGCGGGCGGGTCGAAATGTGTCGCCCGGGTGAGGTTGCGGGTGCGCGCCCAGGGGCGGGTTGAAATGTGTCGCCCAGTTGCGGTTGCGCGCCCGCGGGCGGATCAAAATGTGTCGCACAGGTGCGGTTGCGGTTGCGCGCCCGCGGGCGGGTTGAAATGTGTCGCCCAGTTGCGGTTGCGGTTGCGCGCCCGCGGGCGGGTCGAAATGTGTCGCCCAGTTGCGGTTGCGCGCCCGCGGGCGGTTTGAAATGTGTTGTTCAAGGTGCACTCCTGACGTTCAGCCAATCAATCAATCAAACCCGGCTCCGCCGGGAAACAAATTCCCCAGACGGCTCAAGATGGCTTTCAAGACCGCCAAGATGGCCCCAGATGGCCTCCAAGATGCCTCCAAGATGACCAAGATGGCCTCCAAGACGGCCCAAGAGGGTCCAAAAGATTTCCAAATCCGCCCAAGAAGCCTCCAAGACGGCCCAAGACTGCCCAAGAGGTGCCCACGAGGCCTCCAATACGGTCCAAGAGGCCTCCGAGAGGTCCTCCATGAGGACCCGAAGAGGCTGAAATCATTAATTTACCTGAGGTGTTTGAAGAATTAGTTCTCGTATTTGCTCCTTTTCTGCATTCCGACGGCCCAAGACGGCCCAAGAGGCCCCAAAGATCGCCCCCAGAGCGCCCAAGAGGCCTCCAAAATGGCCTCAGGACTGCCCAAGAGGCCCCCAAGACGACAACCCCAAGAGGGCCTCTCAGACGGCCCAAGAAGCCTCTGAGACGCCCAAGGAAGTCTCCAAGACGGCCCTGGAGCACCCCAAGAGGGCCCCAAACCGGCCCAGGAGAGGCCCCCAAGACGGCTTCCGACGGCGTCAGACGGGCCAGGAGTCCACCAAGACGGCCCAAGATGGCTCTAATGCCAAAGACGGCCCAAGAGGCCTCCAAGAGAGCCTCCGAAGGCCCGCAGAGGTCAGCATCAGTTCTTTGCCTTTGGTTTTTGAAGGATTTGGGCATTTGCATCGTTTCTGCCTTCCGACTGCCCAAGATGGATGGCCCAAGAGGCGCCAAACATCGCCCCAAGATCGCCCAAGAGGCCTCCAGGATGACCCCAGAACGGCCCAAGAGGCCCCCAAGACGGCCACAAGGGGGCCAAAAGACGGCCCAAGAGGCCTCTAAGACGCCCAAAGAAGTCTCCACAACGGCCCTGGAGCACCCAAGAGGGCCCCATACCGGCCCAGCCAGGCCCCCAAGACGGCTTCCGACGGCGTCAGACAGGCCAGGAGCCCACCAAAACGGCCCAACATGGCTCTAAGATGGCCTAAGAGACTCCCAAGAGGGCCTTCAGAAGGCCCGAAGAGGCCAGCATCAGTTCTTTGCCTTTGGTTTTTGAAGGATTTTGGCATGTGTTTCGTTTCTGCCTTCCGACTGCCCAAGATGGCCCAAGAGCCCCAAAAATCGTCCCAAGATCGCCCAAGAGGCCTGCAGGACGACCCCAGAACGGCCCAAGAGGCCCCAAATACGGCCACAAGGGGGCCAAAGGACAACCCAAGAGGCCTCTAAGACGCCCAAGGAAGTCTCTAAGACGGCCCTGGAGCACCCCAAGAGGGCCCCAAGTTGGCCCAGCCAGGCACCCAAAACGGCTTTCGACTGCGTCAGACGGGCCGGGAGCCCACCGAGACTGCCAAAGAGGCCCCCAAGAGGCCCAAGGAGGAGGCTCCCAGCATGCCTCCAAGAGGCTCCCAGGAAGCTCCCAGGAAGCCCCAAGAGTGTCCCCAGAGGCTCCCAAGATGTCCCCTCCTCCTCCTCCTCCTCCCACTCTTCCTCCTCCTCCTCCTCCACCTCCTCCTCCGCCTCCTCCTGACCTTCCCCGCCATCCTCCCTCAAGTGTTCCCCAAAGGGTTTCACAACGGTTGGGGGAACACACTGTCCGATAGCTTGGCAGAGCTTGTGCCACAGAGTTCGGTCAAATGGGCTATTCTAGAAGGCAGGGGGCGGCGGTGATTCGCCGTAGCGTCTTCGCTATTTGATTGGTTCGCCGAAGCTACAACAATGTTATGAATCTGTCTGTAGATTATAAGGAGATCATGGGCTAAATCAACTCTGTAATAGAGTTCCGACTTGGATGTCGTGAAGAAACATGTCGAATATCTAGGGGGAGTGGAAACGGATGGCACTCAACGCTGGTCCGTCTCGTCGTCCATCGGATCTGTTGCACGGCTGTTGCCATGTTGTTGCATCTTGGTCATTGAACAACCTGAAATGCAGGCCTGCGCCACCGCGCAATCATCAAACAGCAACGCTGGCCGCGTGCCATCCCTCCGCCCTAGCGGACCTGAGGGAAGCCTGAAGGGCTGGCCACGTGTCACCCCAAGGTCTGGCTGGGGAGGCTGCTGCGGCCAAGCCTTGGTGGGCGGGGGGTTCTAAGAGAACTGCGTATTGTTGGAAGCCGAATTCGACTTCAACAAGTTCGTCAGCGTATACTGCGCGTTTTTGTTCGGAGTCGAGCTTTGCTTCCGAAGACACACACGGTTCCGGTTTTTTGGAACCGAACCAAACTTTCACCAATACACAATTCCATATGTTCCCAGACTTCGTCTTGGGCCAGCCCGTTCCCGCGAGGCCGCCCGAAATCCCAAAATCGTATGTTGCTTCCTTGCGTGATTCATCCTCCCTCAACATCCGCCCGGCCTTGTGTCGCGAAGCAAGATTCGGCATCCTCATCGTCAGCACCGCAGGCCGTGTATGCGCGATCGCTATCTGGGCCAAGCGCGCTCGACCAAGCACTCTCCGACGCAGGCGCAGACGCGTCAAACGAGAATGTGTTGTACGAGCGCCGCTTCAATTGCTGAAAAAACTGGCGCATCGGAACCATCTCTCCTCGCTGCCCTGCGAGAGCCCCCAGCAAAGTGTCACCATGCAATCGTTGGAAAAACGGTATTGATCGGCGTCCAGCTGTAACGTTACCGGGGAAACATACACGATGGAACAGAGGCCAAAGGAAAGACGACTGATTGCGATCCGTTGTCTTCCCAGCCCCGAAAAGTCGGGCTGCAACTTCTCCAACGTACACAATCCAGACTGTCGATCGCGTATGGCCCTCCATGCGTTGCCATTCCCACTGCCTCACTGGCTTCGCAAGTCTGGTTCGATCAGACGTCGCACGGGTTGGCTGGAGTGCTTCGAGGCCAGCTGCAGCAACTAGTGGACTAACAGCCATCATACCAACATCTGCATGAGGATGCATTGGACATTCACCAGGCGCAGAATGGTATTGGATCACTCGAAAGTAGTCATCTGACAGTGACCCACGACCTAACCGTCCCCTTGAATGTCCAAAGATGTGCTCGAAGGCGTCTGCCTGCATGCGATCAAGGTTTGCCATGAGCATGTCGAAAGCGGATAGACTGACGTTCCTGTAGAGCTGAAACAACTCAAAAGCGGCGTCATCAAACTCGCTGGTGGCTGTTCCGTCTGGAAACTGAATCTTTCCGTTCTCAGATCGGACCCGGACCTGAATATGTTCGCGGCGCGATCCGTCACTAATTTTCTCCCAGCCGTGAAAATAGCCCGACTTTCGATCACGATACACTGCGGCCTGCTTTTCCTGTAGGGTCGATTGGAAGATCTTCGTGGAGAGTTCCAACACTTTCTCGGCAACGATTCCCCAAGCTTCTGGCACCTCAACCAACACTGCACCCCGAGCAATTCGCCGGCCCAACGGGCCAGGGCGTGCTAAGATCTCCGGTAACTGGTTAACAGTATTAACAGTATTTCTAGTTCGCGCGCGCGGGGCGGCCCCTGGGGGTCCCCCGGCGAAAAGTACCCCGACCAACGCCCGGTCGCCGCCCGGTCGCCGCCCGACCGCCGCCCGACCAAGTCTACTCAGAGATGGTTTTCCTTCTGGGTGCGGCCTCTCAGGCTCCCCAGAGCGCGCTCAGAGTGCCCCAAGAGGCCCCCAAGACTGCCCAAGAGGCCCCCGAGACGCCCAAAGAGCGCTCGAAGACGCCGAAGATGACCCCAAGACGGCCCAAAAGGCCCCCAAGACAGCCCAAGAGGCCTCCAAGACGCCCCAAGAGCCTTCCAAGAGGCCTCCGAAGAGAGCCCCAAGAGGCCAAAATCGTTGATTTTCATTGTTTTTTTCGATGTTTTTTGTGTTCTGGCTTTTTCGGCTTCCGGACGCTCCAAGACGGCCCAAGAGGCCCCCAAGACCGCTCCAAGACGGCCCACGAAGCTCCCAAGACGGCGCCGAAACGACCCAAGAGAGCCCTCAAGACGGCCCAAGTGCCGCCCAAGACGGACCAAGAGGCCCCAAGACGGGCCCAAGAGGGACTCAGGAGGGATACCGAGAACTCAAAAATGGAGCCCTCCGTCCCAGAAGGCGCCCAGGAGGTCCCAAAGAGGCCCCAAGAGGCCTCCAAGAGGCCCCAAGATGTCGCCAAGAGGCCCCAGGAGACTCCCAGGAGGCCCAAAAGAAGCCCCAGAAGGCTTCAAACATGTCTCCCAGGCGCCCCCGAACGGCCTCTCAACAGACCCCAAGAGGCCCCCCAAAGAAGCATCTTGACGACGACTCTATTTCGCCCCATCGAGAGACGACCCCCAGGGAACTGCTTCACCATCAAAACTCCCCACGCAACGCGTCCGAACGACACCCGCCCCCAAGAGCGCAACATGGGCAACGAACACACAGACAAAAACCAGCGATGCCATATCACGGGCCGGCGGAATGAGCGAAGCGATTCAATAACTTGTTGAAAGAACTTAGATGCTAGAGCTGTCCGTTGCTTCTTTGAAGCCGCAGCCCAAAACACAGACAGCGAAAGCACTTCTGGAGCTACTGATTCCCAAGTGTCCTCGACAAGCTCCAAGTCCTGGCCTGCGAAAACTTGCGGTTTCTGGACCAACCACTGTAGAGGTAGAACCGCAGAACCTTCACGAATCCCAAACAGGCCTCGCAAATCTGGGAACTCTTTCGCAACGATTGACACGATTCTTTCCAGATCGCAACCGCGAGAGGGCACCTCGAAGCAAGACCGCTTCTGCCTGAACTTCAAACAGACTTGCACGAATGGGTTAGACGGAGAAGCACGCACCTCAGACACGATGCATTGCAAGAAACTCAAGAACCGCAGAAACATACCTGAGCAATTCAGCAACATACTTTCCTTGGGAAAACGTCCACCCTCGAACTGAATGAAAACACTTGAGCTCGCATGGCTTGATGCAGAGGCTACAGACTGGTGCACGCTAACATGGATTACGGATCAGTGGATCTAGCGCGTGGGCACCAGCCAGATCCACAGATCGGGAAGAAACATGACAGCAACACCACCTGAATTGGCGAAGGAGCGCGTACATGTTGTACGAAAAATGGCCCGTCGCGAACACATGCCCCTTGATCCGTGCTTGCAGATAGCAAGAGAACAAGACATATAGCGAGGGAGAGAGATATAGAGACAGAGAGAGACAACACATCAGAAAGAGAAAACACGTAAAAAAACAAACAAACAAGAAAAGAAAGAGAGACAGAGGATGTCGTTCACAAACGCTGACTAAATCAACCTCCCCCCCCAGGGGCAACAATAGGGGGACCTGATCAGGGGGGAAAGCACCGAATCTGAATCAGCGATACATTGTCGATAGATCGGCGGTATGCCCCCCCAATAGGAAAACCGAACGTTCCTGGGCGGGGCGGGCTATCGGGCCCTGGTCGGCGATCAATGGATTATTTGGGGGTCGATGTGCTCCCCCCTGAGCCCGCCCCCCCCCCTCACTCACAGTTAACATTGCCCCTGAAGACCCCCGAAAGGGGTGGCGGTCGAGGGAAAGCGCGGGCGCCCGGGTGGTCTTTGGCCTTCAACCCGGGCGTCGACCAAATAAGCCTGGACGGGACCCCCCCGTCATGATTTGGCCGCCGTGGCAGAGACCGCCACCCTCAGCATGCGACGCGGTCGCAATCTTACGAGAACATCTAGAAGCTCTGTGTTTCCTGAATGCCTTCTCAAAAACGGCGGAAGCCCTCTGGCCTTCAGAGAAGCCCTCCTCAGCTTCGGAGAAAACTCAGACAACTTCCTCTGCCCCCCCTCCCCTGCAGGCCCCATTGCCCTTCCTTGGGCGCACAGCGGACATCCCCTCCCTTACGAGGGTTTTGGCCCCATTTTGGCCTCCCGAGGGGGCCGCGCTCATCTTCCTTCATAGCAAAATCATTGATTTTACGAAGGTTTTGGGCTCATTTTGTCCTTTTCAGGGGGAGGTCGCAAGAGGCGCCAAGATGGCCCCAAGAGGCCCCCAGGAGCCTCCCAAGAGGCCCCCAAGAGGCCCCCAAGAGGCCCCCAAGAGGCCCCAAGAGGCCCCCAAGAGACCCCCCAGAGGCCCCCAAGAGGCCCCCAGAGGCCCCAGGAGGCCCCGAAGAGGCCCCCAAGAGGCCCCCAAGAGGCCCCCAAGAGGCCCCAAGAGGCTCCAAGAGGCCGCCAAGAGGCCGCCAAGAGGCCCCACGAGGAGCCCGAACGACTCACACCAGGTCGAGGGGCCCGAACGACTCATACCACGAAGAACCCGAACGTCTCACGCCAGAAGGAGGACCCCGAACGACTCCTACAAGGACGAGGCGCCCGACCCATTCACACCACGAGGAGCCCGAACGACTCACACCACGACGCGCGACTACTACTACTACTACTACTACTACTACTACTACTACTACTACTACTACTACTACTACTACTACTACTACTACTACTACTACTACTACTACTACTACTACTACTACTACTACTACTACTACTACTACTACTACTACTACTACTACTACTACTACTACTACTACTACTACTACTACTACTACTACTACTACTACTACTACTACTACTACTACTACTACTACTACTACTACTACGACTACTACTGATACTACCACTACCAGTACTACAACTGATCCTACTGGTACTATTTCTACTACTACGACTAGGAGCCGAAAAGGGGGAAGAGGAGGAGGGAGAGAAAGAAATGGGAGGCAAGACAGAAGGCGGTCGTTCACCAGTCCTACACGTAACCGGCTCTGTCGACTCACACGACGGCGACGTCCTGGACCAGAATGCATGTGGTGTGCGTCGTTGGGGCCCCTCGCCCTGGTGTGAGTCGTTCGGGCTCTTCCTTGTGTGAGTCGTTCGGGCCCCTCGCCGAACGACTCACACAAGGAAGGAGGGGCCCGAACGACTCTGTCCAGGAGGGGGGACCCGAACGACTCACACCACGAAGAGCCCGAACGACTCACACCACAAGGAGGAGCCCGAACGACTCATACCAGGACGAGGCGCCCGACCCATTCACACCACGAAGAGCCCGAACGACTCACACCACGACGCGGGCCTCGAACGACTCACGCCAGGACGAGGCGCCCGACCCAGTCACACCACGAGGAGCCCGAACGACTCACACCAGGAGGAGGGGCCCGAACGACTCACACGACGAGGATACCGAGCGACCCACACCAGGAATAGGGTCCCGAAAGACTCACACAAAGACGACGGGGCCGAAGGACTCACACAACGAGGGCCCGCACCGCCGCCTTCGTCGTCGACGTCGTCGACGTCGTCGTCGTCGTCGTCGCGGTTGTGGTCGTCGTCGTTTCGGTCGACATCGTCGTCGTCGTCGGCTGCGTCGTCGTTGTTCAGATCATCGCTGAGATCGTCCTCTCTGCTGAGTCCCTCTTGCCTCCCACCGCGTTTTCTCCCTCCTCTTCCGCGTCGTCCTTCTCCCGCTGCCCCCACAAGGAGGATGTGCAAGGAGGCGGGAAGAAGGAGGAACAGGGGAGATATGCGGGGCCAAGCGGACACACGCCTGAAAAACACCACTGTCGGCATCCTTCGCAAGAGTTGCTGTTGTGAGATGGGCTGGTGGGGATACGCGAAGCGTAAAGAATTATGCCACGGGCTTGCACGATAACGCATGACCCTCCCACAGGGTGCATCGTTTGCTGGAGGAGAGGCCAAGGCACCAGGGCTCTTCGATTACCTGCCTAAAGCTGTTCTTTGCTTGGCGGTAGACTCTGCTGGTGATGAGACGCTGAGCGCAGAGACAATGCGATGCAATTCGGCGGCGGTTCTGGTGCCAACGTCTTGACCCCCAACTTGAAATTCGCACGCGAAGATAGGGCGCACGCCTCACGTAGAATCGTCAACTGCCCACGAGCGGCCGACCCCTGCATCCGAGATAACGCCACGATGACCGCCCAAGGCTGCGGTGCTAATTTATTCATTATCGTCAAGTGTTCAACACGCATGCGAAACAGCATTCCAACAACATTGTCAGCTCGGCCTGCACCAACATGCGCGCAACGAAACATCGGTTTGAGGCGTTTCAGCAACCACATGGGGGGAACGTGTTTGCATTGACACGCCTGTATCCAGACGGCCTTGCATATGAGCTATCACTCTAACAATCAGGATGCGAAGGATTGCGCAAAAACGTGGCTGCCCTGGGTGAATTGCGAGAGGTGTCCGATGGTCGCCATGCTGGCGGACGCAAGTGATCAGGCGATGGCACTAACGCACCGCAAGGATACGGAGAAGCTGGATCCTGCAAGCTTGGGGGAAAACAACTGATATTCGAACAATCCGCCTATCAACTACTGCTGTCTTCTGTGACGAGCAATGCTTGGCTGTCTTTGGATACCTGTCCACTATATTAGAACTACTCAAGAACCAGCTTGTATGGCACATCGGCAAAGAAACTTACATTCTGGGTGATGAAATCGGGGTTCCAGAAAATGGGATTGAGAGACGCTTGGGAAGAATGCGGTCAGGGATTAGTTTAGCTCGCCCATCCCTGCAAGCTGAGCTCCCCAGCTGGGAGATCTCGCAGGTGCGCTGCGGGGGTGGGAAAATGCCAGATACAACGTGGTTTCGTGGGCGGACGCAATTGCCAATGCCATGGCGTGTCTGCCCACGAAATGCTTGAGACTGGTTCTTCGGATGGCCGTTTAGGCATTTCAGATTTCTGACGTGGGCAAGGCCATGCATATGACTCAAGATATCACAACGCCAGACGACGATGCGACGGCTTCCGCCTCCCGCGTTTTCCCAACACCCGTACGCGCGAAATTCAAAACAATCGCGAACCACATGGGCTCGCAGACGTGTTTCTTCTGTCCGTTATCTGAACTCAAGGTTCTTTCCAAAACCAAGAAACATTGAATTGCACTGTGTATTTTGATTGCGAACGAAGCTTCCCGTCCCGTGGCTTATCACTGAGCCGACTCAGTTCAGTAGTCTGGAGCCGATTCAGCCTACTCGCGCCCCGATTTAGCGCCAAGTTGCCCTCTCTGGTCGGGGGGCTAGCGGTCTTGCCCAGAGCGCAGCTACACGCACAATGGCAAAATAGATTCCCTCGAGCCAAGGCTCGATGGACTAATTCGGCCTCGAATGCGGATGCGTGGTCAATGGTTCTGGCCCAGGTCCACCCCCCTCACGTAGTCATGCATCGCCCCACCGACATCGTTCGCGAGGCTGTGGCCGCGTGCGCAATGCGTGGTGTGAGCGCGTCTGGCGATGAGCAGGGCTTCAGTGAGGGGGATCAGATAATAGGCAACAAGAGGTTGTCGTGCCGCCCTGGGACGGACGAGTTGATTGTAACATTAGCATTCGATTTGCCTGGGCGTGGCATCAAGAAGCTTGTGCCTTGTGCCCAGCGCGCGCGGCAGGATGCCTGCAGCCCCCCTCGGAAACATAACCCCCTCGGCCGTTTCAGCAGGGGCGTCAAAAGGAGGGCGACGATGAACCCGGAGAACAAATCATCGCCAAGCGCCGTGCAGCGGCCGAATTAGCTCACCAGTAAGCTCCCAACTGCTGTCAAGTTGGGCGATCGGCCACCTGACGTCGCGCGGCGCGGTGCCGATTGGAGCGCCTCGCAACGGGAAGTTGCATTCCCAGAACCAGAAGGCACGAACGAAGGCGGTGGACGCACTGGACGAACACGCATTGCTCAAGGATGGGACCACACCCGCGCTCGAGCGCACTCTTCTGCCAAGTGCGCCAAAAGAACCAAGGACCTGCGTGCAAGGAAGGGAACGCGAGGCAGCGCGTGCTCAAAGCAACACTCGCAGTAACGTCCAGTAGAAGCGCTCTGAGGCCGTTGCGCGGCGCATCTGTTCTTGTTGAACCAAGTGCGAGAAGTAAGCCTCTAGCGCTGGCGCTCGCTGGAACTGGCATTGCGCTGGGCCGATCCCGCGCGGCCAGCGTTTTCGCTGTGAAAGCGCCAGGCCACGCAACTACGCATGATCGCTGCTTCGGCGGTTCGGGGTGCTGACCAAATGGGACTTGGCCTGTTGCTCTCTGATGGGGCACGGGGGAATGGCCCTCAAACTGCAGCTAATCTTGCGCATTAAAA